GGGGGGGGGGGAGAGCTGGAGGATCAAAGGGATCGAGCGGGAGAGACGGGGGAATTGATGACTCCACTCGTCTCCCTCATTAGACCCTTCAGAACGTTTGGCCCTTCTGATTACTCTCCACGTCACTCCCGTAACCCTTGAGAAAATTTGACCCTCCACCTGTCTTTCCCGTTTGACCCTCAAGACTGTTTGATCCTAAAGAACATTTAGCCGATCATCATTCAGTCCCAGGGAAAGACGAGTGGAGGAGCGATAACTTTAAAAAATTTCTAAAATTTTGCAATTTCCAACTTGGACAAATTGAAAAATAAAATTGAGAACCCCCCCCTCCCTGTGTATGGTGCACTTATGCCCTTTAAATACCTCGGCCACAATTTTTTAGTTCAATCTAAAAATTTTCTAAAATTAAGAAAAATTCAGCATTGGTTTTAGAAAATATTTGTTCTGAAAACAATCCCCAAATTCGTTAGTTTTTATGATCCCACCAAGGATAATGCTTAAGAACAAGAGTTTCTAAAATCTAGAAACTAGTTTCTAAAGCTAGGCCACTTTTTCTCTCTGTATCGGTCGCGATCTCCCATTTGACCATCTCCACCCTTTTTGTCTCTCCCATCTGACCCTTGAAGAACGGTAGAGAATTTCCTTGTTTGAGGGTCAAACGGGAGAGATGAACGAAGTGATCAGAAGAATCAATCTTTCTTGAGGGTCAAATGGGAGAGACAGGCGGAGGGTCAACCGGGAGAGACGAATGAAGTGATGACTCCCCTCATCTCTCCCGTTAGACCCTTGAAAAAGTTTGAACCTTCTGTTTACTCTGCTCGTCTCTCCCATTGAACCCTTAAGAATATTTAACATCTGCCTGTCTCTCCCGTTTGACCCTCAAGACTGTTTAATCCTAAAGAACATTTGGCCCTTCATCATTCATGTACACGAGAGAGACAAGTGGAGTGATAACTCGATCGTGATCACCCGTTTGACCCTCTCGACCCTTTTTGTGTGTCCCATTTGACCCTTGAAGAACGCTAGAGACTTTCGTTGTTTGAGGGTCAAACAAGGTTGAGGCTCCAACGGGAGCGGCGAGTGAAGTCATCAATTTTTGAGTAATAAAGATGAGAAAAAAAATTATCAGAATTTTTCTCTGCATTCGTTTACTGCTACCGTTCCACTTTGCTTATCCCATAGCACTCTTTATAAATGGAAAATCATTAATAAATGAAATACATCAGGTGGTAAACATCCAGAATGAGGAGAGAATAACCGCTCTCCAGAAGGAGCTCTCTGAGGAAAGGGAGCGAGTCATCCAACTCGAGAACGATAACTTGCGTCTCTTCGAGGCTGAGGAGGAACTAGTAAAGCTCAAAGTTGAATCAAATGCCTTATCAGGTAATTCTATCCACTGGGTTATACTGGAACCACTCATTTGTTAAATAATTCCATCAGACAACTCCGTCAATTAAGAATTTCTTAAATCCTGGCGATTTTTTCAATTTATGCATTTTTCTCGAAAACGACTCATTCTGGAAGAAAAATCCATAAGACCTTTTTTGTAGCTGAGGAAATTCTCTACAAAGAATATCCTGTCACATTTTCTCCTGGAATCTCTCATTATCGAGATAATGCGACAATTGTGAGATGTAAAACTCCATTTTTTCACAAAACTTAAACAACGAAATTCGCTACTGTTCCACTTTGCCCCCACCGCCCCTATTGTTGGTAATTTTCAATATTTTTTTTCTACAGAACTGGAAAATGCGAATCTCTGTCTCAAAGAAGCGAAAATCACTCTGGAAAATCAAATGTTGGAGCGAAACAACACGATTTCCGAGCTTTACTCACAGATCTCAGAACTCCAACAAAAGCTCAAAAATAGGGAAGAGATTGAAGAGTCCCACATCGAAAAGCTCTCGGAAAATTTGAGTAAAACTGTAGAGGAAAAGAACTCCATAATCTCGAAGATCACGGAGGAAAATGCAGTGAAAGCTCAGACGATGGCTCAGGACATAGGAAAACTGAAGGAGATCATTGAGACTCTCACAAAAGAAAACTCAAACTCCTTAGAAACCCAGAAAATCGAGCTCAGGAAATTGCTCGAGGAAAAGGAAAACCTGTCGGTGGAAAATTTTCGGAAAATTGAGGACTTGATGAGTCAAAAGTCCCAGTTGGAGCAGTTACTCGAAGAGAAAGAAACGGTTTCAGTGGAAAATTCGAGGAAAATCGAGGAGTTCGAGAAAATTGTGACCGAAAAGTCTCACATGATGGACCAAGAGAAGGAAAAATCAGGGAAAATTCTCGAGAGAAATTCAGAGCTGGAAGAATTACTGGAAAAACTGGAAAATGAGATGAAGAATTTGAGAGTTGAATTGAACGAGAAAAACGAAAAATTAGAGAAAAATTCCGGAAAAATTCAGGAGTTGGAAAAAATTTTGACTGAAAAGTCTCAGAGGATGGATCAGGAAAAGGAAAATTCGGAGAAAATTTGTGAGAAAAATTCAGAGTTGGAAAAATCACTGGAAAATGTGGAGAATGAGCTGAAGAATTTGAGGGCTGAAGTGATTGAGAAAAACGGAAAATTGGAGGAAAATGCGAGGAAAATCGAAGAGTTAGAGAAAATTGTGAGTGAAAAGTCTCGGACGATAGATCAGGAAAAGGAAAATTCGAGGAAAATTCTTGAAAAATCTTCAGAGTTGGAAAAATCTCTGGAAAAACTAGAACATGAGATGAAGAATTTGAGTGCCGAATTGACCAAGAAGAACGGAACTTTGGAAGAAAAATCTGCATTAATTACAGAATTGAATGATAAATTTTCCGAAGTTTCCAAAAATCGTGATGAGAAAATTGTCGAGTTGGAGAGGATGGGAAAATTATTGGAAAATCAAGGAGAGGAAAATAGAAAATTGGTGCAAGAGGTGAAGAGTAATTCCGGAAAATTCTCGAGTTTAGATCAGGAAATTAATTCTCTGAAGTCTGAGTTGAGCGGGAGAAATGAGGAAATTAATAGTATGACTGAGACAATGGCTGAGTTGAGGGATAATATCACAATTTTCGAGCAGACAAAGACGAATTTGGAGAGTGAAATGAAAATGCACGAGTCGACAATTTCCGAATTGAACAAGAAGGTGAAATTTTCTGAAGAGAAAATTCAGGAGTTGATTGCGGAAAAAGGGAAGTTGGAGGAGGAAATTTCGAGGGTCATTTCGAGTTCTGAAGGGTCTTCTGAGCAATTGAAGCAGTACAATGAAGAGTTGAGGCTGAGGGAGAAAGAAAATGGGAAATTGAAGGAGAAAATCTTCGAACTGGAAAATTCGGTGGAAAGTTTGCCAGGAAAATTGAAGGAAAATGCGGAAAATCTCGGGAAAATCCAGGAAAAACTGGGCAAAAGTGAGGAAAATGAGTGGAAATTGGTGGGAAAATTGAAGGAAAACGAGGAGAATTCCGGAAAACTCCAGGAAAAATTGAGAGAAAATCAGACAATGTTTGAAAATTTAAGTGGAAAACTCAAGGAAAATGAATCTGAACTCCAGAAAATGCTGGAGAAACTGAAGGAGAGCGAAGAAAAATACGGAAAACTCGATAAAACTGAAGAAATTCTCCGGAAAACCGATGAAAAATTGCGAGAAAGCGAGGAAAATTCCGGAAAACTCAAGGAAAAGTTGAAGGAAACAGAAGAAAACCTGAAAATTGTACATGGAAAATTGCAGGAAAATTCGGAAAATTCCTCAAAATTGATCGATGAAATCAATTCCAAAAACTCAAAGATCGAAGAATTGACTCATAAAATCCTGAATTCCGAGGAAAATTCTGCGAAATTGACTGAAGAAAATGAGCAGCTAGTCAAGAAAATTTCAGATCTCGAGAGGAAAACCGAAACTCTCGAGAGAAGCCTGGAAAATTCCACTCAACTCGAGGCCTCAAACGTGGAACTGAAGAATTCCGAGGATAATCTCAAGTCAAAAATCGAAGAATTAAACGATAAAATTCGAGAATTGATCGGAAAAGTCGATGAGAAAACCTCAGAATCCTCGAGTCTCTCATCAGCCCTGGAAACCGCAACCCAGGATCAAAAGAAATCTCAGGAAAAGATGGAGGAACTGAACAACGAAATAAATTCCCTCAGAGCAAAACTGAAATCAGCAAAGGAAAGCTCAGAAAAGCTCACGAAAATTCTCCGGAAAACCGAGGGGCAAAATTCGGAATTATCACAAGCAGTAGAAGCCCTGGAAGTTACCCAAAACAATTACAAAATTTCCCAGGATAAAATCGAGGAACTCAACTCAGAAATTTTCTCCCTCAAGGCTCAATTAATTTCCTTCGATTCAACTTCTCACAAATTAAATGAATTAGAGGAAAAATTATCCCAGAAAACTCAAGAAAACTCCGACTTATCTCGGAAAATTTCTGAACTATCGACGAGTGAAGCAGAACTCAAGACCTTGGGCTCAGAAAAATCCAGAGTTGAAGAGAATTTCGAGAGAATTCTTGAGGAAAAATCAGAGGTCGAGGAGAAACTCAAGAAAATTGAGACTGAAAACGAAGAGATGAAGAACTCCTTGAGCCTGAAGTCAACAATGATTGACGAATTAGTGAGTGTCCTGGAGACGTTGAAGTCATCGGAGAGTGAGTCGATGAAGAATCTGGAGCTGGAATTCTCCAAGAAGTTCGAAGAAAGCTCAGAGAATCTCTCGAGGACGACTGAGGAGCTTAAGACGCTCAAGAAAACCTCTGAAACTGCCGAATTGAGTCTGAAAGCTGTTCTTGAGGAGAATGAGAAGCTCAAGAAGATTATCGAGAGCTCAGACGCTAGGATTAAAGACCTTGAGTCGAGGAAACTCGAGAAAAACTCAGAATTGAATACGAAAAGTCAAAAACTTGAGGAGAAAAATTTGGAATTAAATTTCAGAAGTCAAAAACTTGAGGAGAAAAATTTGGAATTGAATTCTAGAAGTCAAAAACTTGAGGAGAAGAACTTAGAACTGCTCAGGGAAAATCATAAGCTAGAGCAGAAGAACTCAGAGATGAACTTGAGACTGTCGGAGGTTCTGGGGGAGATCAAGACCCTGAAGGAGAATTCTAATAATAATTTGGGGGGACTTGATGAGAAGATCCAGAGCAATGGGGAGACGAAGAACATGGAGAAGATCCTGGAGGACAATGAGACGTTCAAGGGTCAGATCGACTTTCTGAACTCGGTGATAGTGGACATGCAGAGGAAGAACGAGAGTCTCAAGTTGAAGATCGAGGTCCTGGAGATGGGGGTGCCTGCCAGCGAGGCTGATGAGTACTCGAGGGAGACTCTAGAGAAGGTTTTGGCCCCGAGGATGTTCTGTGATATTTGCGATGAGTTTGATCGGCACGAGACTGAGGACTGCCCCAAGCAGGCGCAGGACTTCGAGTTGGAGAAGCCGGTGAAGAGGACGCCGGTGAAGGGGACGGTGGAGAGGGTTTATTGCGAGCATTGCGAGAGTGAGTTATTGTTGTTGGAGGATTGGTCTTAAGGTGTTTCGTGTGAAAAGTCAATATAATGAAAAAAAATGGGAAAATTCGTGGAAGAAATGTCTGAGTATGCCGCATCATTGAGAATTTTTGGCACATTTTTTTCAGATCTCTGATCTTCCAGATCAGAAAAAAAATAATGAAATTTGGATGTTTTTGTAAGCCCTCCAGCTATAACCTCCGAGATTACCCCACTCTCAATGAGGGAAATTTCCATGGCATCCAAAAAAATAATGAACTATTGATGAAAAACTAGTGGGTGATGAATTAAATCTTTCTTGAGAACACGTATAAGTTTCAGATTTTTTTCAGATTTCATAAGAAAGTTATTTGAACAAATGATTCGGAAAATTATGAGTTTCGGGGCAATTATCCCCTCACGCGCAGACGCGTGATTCGAGTGTCAGTGAGCATCATGGGAAAGGTATAGGTTGCACCATGGAACTGAGAGAGAGAAAACACTTGACAGGTTTACCAACTCGCGGCGCATTTTAATATTATGTTAATAATTAGAATGACATTCAATAAAAATTATTTGACACCTGTAGGTGATGAGAAAAAAATCAATCAATATGATAAATAAAATCAATATTCAAAAAATGTTCAAATGCACACTTAAATAGTTACTTGAAAATTGGAAAATTTCGTGCTCAGCGATTGAATCAGGGCTCGAGAACAATAAGACTCCCTCAGTGAAACACCTTAAAGACCAACAGGAGAAAAAAGTCAAACTAAAAATTCTAATCAATGATGAAATTTCTCTTTTTCAGTGTTTGGTCATGACACAGCCGATTGTGACGACGCCGAGACCTTTTAATCACCGAGCCCATTGAAATTAAAATCGAGCTTCGCTTGCCAGTACTGAAAGCCCCTAGGAAATTCAATTACTCAATCCGAGAATGCGTTGAAATTTTCAAAGTATATTTTTATATCTCGTTAGATTATCCCCCAAACAATTGCCCTCTTGTCTTCCCAACTAATTTCCGTAGCTGTTTCGTGTTAATCGTCGTTTGTTCAGAGACTGTAGTTAATTTAAACCACTCTCTCCAAGGATTGAGAGTGAAAAACGTTCGCTTGCCCATTTTTTAAATTAAATTCTACAAAGAAGTTGATGACATGGTGTAAATAGAAGTAAGATCGATCTATTTAATATTTATTATGACTTACGTGTACATAAGAATCTGTTATCATGTTCCTTGCACGCTGAGATTCGTTGGAGAATTTTCGAATTTTGCACAATTTGAGAGATGAAAACGTTTTGTAGAATTTTATCAATAAAATATGGTTTATTCACAAGTTTAAATGAGTTTCTTAGATTTTAGTTATTCAGGTATATACATGGGGTTCCGGATTAATCAAGGCCTTCCTTCTTCTCCTTTATCGCGTCCTGAAATGGGGAGTGATTTTTAATGTGAGTTTGCCCCAATTTTTGCTTCAATTTGATAGTTTTTTTGGGGTTTACCTTGAATCTCTCCTCGAAGAGAGACAGTTCTGCTATCAGATCGGTGATCGCGTGCATGAATGCCTCGTGTGGAGTGTAATCTGAGGTTGTCTGGATCCTGATGACGAACTTGTGCTCCAGGGGGTGGGGGACTTTGTAGCCAGCAAAGAGCACGTGTGGGTCCTTCAATAATTGACTGTGAGAGAGAGGAAAATTTTGAGAAAAATGAAACTTGAGGGGTGAGACTTCACTGCGAAAGTAGTCTAGTAAATTCCCACTTTGGATGAAGGAAATTATCTTCATCTCTTCTGAACTTCTGGAGGAAATTGTTGAATACGAAGGGTGGTAATTATGATAGGAGTGATGGAGCAGTGGAGGACGATAAGAACATCATTAACTAATAATTATATTCTTTTGTTGAAATTTTTTACTCGGGGAATTTTCATTGCATGAATCATGAATTTTTGAGAAGGATATTTATTGAGGAATTTGAATGTTTAGGGCCCGGGTAGATTATCTTTCGAACGTGGTCTTGATTTTTTTTATTTTGATAATCTGAAATGATCTCCAATTGCTATTCAGTTTTACATAGCCGTGGAGTCTCCAAAAATTATGATTGTACAATAAAAAAAACGTTGAAAAAAAGCTGAACATTTTCAAAGAGCGTTTTTTAATAATATGTGGACGTCCACATGAAAAGGGACCACTTTGTCGATTCTAGTCTCCGAGATATTCACGTTTTTACTATTGGCTAGTTTTTGACGAATATCTCGGAATCTAAAAGAGATAGAAAGATTTTTGTCATGACCTTTTTTGTGGAGCCAATAGAGCACTATAAAAAAAGTCATGAGAACAATTTTGCTATCTCTCTTAGATTCCGAGATATTCAGCAAAAACTAGCTAATAGTCAAAATCTACTTAACTCGGTTTACCGCTTCACTACTGAATTGTTTTTTCCATCTTCTCCAATGACGTCATTTTTGACCCCATGAAGATCATTTTGGGCTCAAAATGTACGGAATATTATCAATATTATCAGAGTATACATAATACCATATCGACAAAGTGGTCCCTTTTCATGTGGACGTCCACATATTGGGAAATAAAGCCAACAGGGAGGAAATTGCAAATTAATAATTTGATGTATCTAATGGCTGTTAGGTCGTCATTTATCACAGTAGTCAATGGCTGTCAGATCGTTAGTTACCATGATAAATTATCCATTCACTATTTCCTCTCTATCGGACTTACTTCTTAATTTTTATTAAAAACGCTCTTTGAAAATGGTCAGTTTTTTTCTACTTTTTTTGATTGTACAATGATATTTTTAGGGACTCCCGCGTGATGTAAAATCCAATACGAAATTGTGATATATTTTACATTATTAAGATGGAAAAACAATCGAGATAATGTTCGAAAGATAATTGATCCAGGCCTTAAATAGGTATTCAGAAGATTCTTTAGACATTTATTATTACTGAATGAGCTGAGAAGAAAATAATCAGTAGTGAAGTGGTAGAACGTAATCTCACGTATTCTCAAACATTTAATTATCTTGATGATGAGGGATTCTATTGAAAAATGTCGAGAGATATTTTTTATTAGAGATTTAATTCTCAAGAAAATTGATTTTTTGGCGGTTATTTTTCGATTTTGGTAAGAAGATGGAGTTTTTATATTGTGGCTTGTAATTCATGTAATTCAATAGCTTCTCAGGTATATGATTTTTAATCTGCCTTTATGATGTTTTTTAGAATAAAAATGCACCTGAGGAGGAATGCTTTGCGCATTCAAAATGTAAGGCAATTGCACAGTTACATTTTTTCAGGTTGATTATTGCTGCTGACCGAAACATGGCCCAAAGGAATTTAAATAAAACTTAATTCTCTGCAAAAAGTCTTTCTGACATTTTTTGCTGACACTAATAGCGTTCGAAATAATTGCACTATTAACAAAAATTTTTTTGCTAAACTGTGAATTATCTCGATGACATTGATGATTAAAACAGATACTTCCTTACTTCCTGATCATGTTCCCTAGGGTATGATCCTCTTTATTAACCGTGAAGATCGCCGCATTAGGCACCTTCGTGTCCTGTTCCTTGATAATCCTGCAAAGTCCCAAAATAAACCCCTCGAACCTACAAAAACTTCGAAAAAACTCACTTTTTCTCTCCATCGTACAGCAAAAACGACTCAAAAGTTGGCGGTGCGTTCATCCTCAAGCTCTTTTACAATCAAACTGTGAAAAAAGTACACCAACAACAACAACAAAACTGTTTACGACGGTTCGGAGCACTTCAACACCTCAAACACCGACTGCTTCACTGCCGCCATTGCCCTGACGTCGATTATTCCAAATATCGATATGTCATGGCTCAATAATCGATATCTGTCTCGTTCGATTGAGGAGGAATCGCTATTTCTACCCAGTATCGACATTCAACTCGATGATAATCGTTATTTGATCTCGTTCGATCGAGGAGGAATCGATATTTCTACCCAATATCAGTATGCAATTCAATGAAAAATGTGTGAGGAAATTTTTGAATTTGAAAATTCGGTAAAAATATGAGGGAAATAAGAGGAAATTGACTGAAAACGAAGAAAGTTCTGGCAAATCCACGGAATTCTCATTGAATTCTCGGAATGTATTTCTGTATCGATCATTCCCACATCGATATCTTACATCTTACATCGATATTCCTACATCGATTAATTCGATAGAAATTGTCAGTAGCGTAATCATCGATCGGCTAAGGTCATATCAATGATTACGCTACTGACAATTTCTATCGAATTTCTATCAAGTTCCCCTTAAATTCTCGAAATTTATCTCTGTATCGATGTTTTCAATATCGATATCTGATGGTGCCATATATCGACGTATCGATTGCGCAACTGATTTCATCGATTCAGGATATCGATACTTTTTTCAAAATCGAAAATCCTCCGTCACGTGACCTCAGACGCATCTCGAGATCCACCGAAAACCCCCGAGGCCCTTCCCCCTCCCCCCAGTTGTCAGAAGCGGAAATTCCTCGTCGCAACAAACTCTTCACCTCCTCAGTTGTCAAAATGGCGGGCGAAGGATCAGCAAGTGTTAATCCAAATGCGGAAATTGTGCGTGGACAAGTGTTTGAAGTTGGCCCGAGGTACACTAATCTCGCTTACATGGGAGAAGGTGCCTACGGAATGGTCGTGTAAGTAAAAATCATCCCTTGAATTATCACAGAGTCATCGGAAACCCCTCCCCCTGTCCCACAGGGAGCGAGGAGTGGAGGAAATTTTTTGAATGAAAGGAAATAATTTTTTTTCGGGGAAAAATGTGGATTTGAGAGATTTCTGTGGGGATTTCGCGATTGGCTGAGGGGAAGGGGTGGTTTTGGGGGTTTTTGTGGGAGGTTGGGGCCACTTTTTGGGGAATCGAAGGGTCCATCCTCTAGATTTTGGCGGCAGATTTGAATTATTTATGCTGTCACACCCTTTTTTTGTAAACTATTTTTCTTGGGGATGATTTTTTAAGAAGTTTTTGGGGAGGAGAGGTGGTTTTGGGATTTTTTTTCGGGGGTTGGAGACATTTTTTGAGAAAGGGAAGGGTCGATCATCTAAATTTTGGCGGCAGATTGTATTATTCACGCTGTCACACTTTTTTTTCAAAATTATTTTTCTTCCAAATGTTTTTTCCATTTCTTTTTGGAGGGGAGCGGAGAGTTGTTTTTCATTTTTTTGGGGGAGATGGGAGGTATTTATTAAATTATTCACGCTGTCACACCTTTTTTTAGAGAATTGAACAGGGAAAGTGATGAGAATTGCGCTAGTGGTAACGTTTTTTTCTGGTTGCAGATCCGCTTACGATAATGTGACGAAGACGAAAGTAGCAATTAAGAAAATTTCGCCGTTCGAGCACCAGACGTACAGCCAAAGGACTCTGAGGGAAATCAAAATACTCACGAGGTTTAAACATGAAAATGTAAGCTGATGGTTGGGTGTCTCATTGTGAGGTTTATCTCGTTTCTTATCGATTACAGAAGTATCTGATGAAATAGTTCCAGGAAATTTAGAGATAAAGTTGATAGAAATGAGGGGGAGATGTAATTGTTTTTAGTGAATTTTGTATTTTGATGAATATCTTTGAATGTAGCGATAAATATCACAATTGAAGAAAAATAACAGAATTTTCGTAAAGACCTTTTTTACAGCCCTTGAAATTCTCGGATCTATTTGAAAAATGTGGGAATCCTTCCTTGGACAACGAATATCTGAGGTTCTGAGTACAGGAGCATCGCGGATAAAAATATTCTAACACTTAAAGTTCACATAGAGTGCAGTACTTGCACATTTTGCTTGATTTAAAATCTATTCTGCCCTTTTGTATACCGAGAGAAAAACAAACACGTTGTCAAACAAGTCTTATTCGAGCCAACAAAATCGCTAGTTGAAAATTACCAAAAAAGAATTTGTTTGGTTCGAATTTGAAAGCCTTAAACATGAATAATTGTTCTGCTTTCGCCAGCAACGAAACATTTGGCTCAAGAGGCGGATAATTCACACCAGATGGTGCCTTTTCAAGATGAAAATATCTCGTATAGAGGAAAATTTATCAACTAATATTTTATCCCCAAGTTACAAGATTGCTATCATATCATTATTATTGTTTCATTTAAGGGTTAATTTCTTGTCTGTGATTATTAGACAGCCGAAACGAAAAAGTACTATCCCTTGTTTCGCATAAAACAAAGATTTTTCGGGAGCAAAATACGTATGGGAGTATCGAGTAACGAAGGAGTAGTGCTAGAAATGACATTACTTGCGTCTACAGAGAATGCAATTTTTTTTTAACTACTAAATCTATTTTTGCGACAAAAATTTTTCATTCCGGCGCACTCTCCATGTTTGGCACAAAAAAATCCTTTTTTGATAATTTTCAAAAAACTATTTTCTTGGCACAAGTAAGAGTTGTTTGAGAACTCTGTCGTTTTTCTCTCAGTGTAAGTGCACGTAAAAAATATGATAATTTGAAAGTCTGATCTGAGCTAGTGTTCGTTTGATAAAGAGACAGTGGTTCTGTGTGAAGCATAATGCTTTCCAAGATATTTCCAAGATTATGAGAGCTAAATACCCAGCAAAATCAACTATTTTGCGTATTTCTCATTTTGCATGCTTGATTCCTTCAAAAACATCCTCATAAAGTCCTCCCCATCCCCCAGATATCCAGCAAAAACTCACTAAACTCGCCTTGCAATGTGTTCTATGATTCTTCGTTCTCCCTTCCAGATCATAGATATAAGGGATATCCTCCGGGCGCCAACAATAGACCAAATGAAGGACGTCTACATCGTCCAATGTCTGATGGAGACAGACCTGTACAAATTGCTAAAAACCCAGGCAATAAGCAATGATCACATATGTTACTTCCTTTACCAAATACTACGAGGATTGAAGTACATACATTCGGCTAATGTACTCCACAGAGACTTAAAACCGAGTAATTTACTGTTGAATACCACTTGTGACCTTAAAATATGTGACTTTGGCCTTGCCAGAGTCGCTGATCCCGATCACAATCACGCTGGCTTCTTGACTGAGTACGTTGCGACGAGGTGGTACAGAGCTCCTGAGATCATGTTGAATTCCAAGGTAAATTTGTTAGGATTCAAATGACATTAAAACGTCTCGGTAATGAGTGGGCTCAGGAGGTAATTACTCGGGGGATTTTTTGTGGCTGGGGAAATTCTCAAAAAAATTGTTCCATGGCATTTTCTCCCAAAAGACTCATTAATAAGATTAATGAACAATTAATTTAATGTGAAAACTCAATTATAACTGAATTGAAGTTTTTGTGGAATCGAAGTGTGTTAAATCTACTAATAATGAGTAAATTTAGAAGAAAATGGCTTTAGACTTTTTTTTTTAGCTGAGAAAATTCTCTTGCAATAATGTTTCATAATATTTTCTGCCAAACTACTCATTAACCAGATAAATTAACAATTAATAAAATGTGAAAACTCAATTTTAGCTGAATTGAAATTTTTGTGAAATCGAAATTTAAAAAATCTTCTATTACTTTATATCACGTAGATTTAGGAAGAAATCGCTCCAGACTTTTTTTAAACTGCGGGAATTCTCTCCAAAAAGTCTCTGGCATTTTCCTCTAAAACTACTCATTAATGAAATAATTAAATAATTGACAACATGTGGAAATCAAATATACAAGTGATTTACTGGGTTTTTGAAGTTTCCAGTTTGTTAATAATGCAATTACTTCAATAGCCACGTTCATCGTTTCAGGGATACACAAAGTCAATCGACATTTGGTCAGTCGGCTGCATTCTCGCGGAGATGCTGTCAAGACGGGCAATATTCCCTGGCAAACATTACTTAGACCAGTTAAATCACATTCTTGGAGTTCTCGGGTCGCCTTCACCCGAGGACCTTGAGTGCATCATAAATGAGAAGGTAAATTACATACCCATTTTTCTTTCTATTCATTTTTTCTTTGTGGAGGTGTCAGTCATCAAGTGCGGTGTATTTTTATCGATGAATGGGCGTCAGGGAAACATTCTTTGAATTAATTTCGTGATTCTGCATTTTTTTTCTACTCCTCAGATCCATTTTTTCCCTCTATTTTTCTCTTTTCATTTATTATCTTTTATTCTATCGGTTCAGATTTTGAAGAATCATTAATTTTATTCAACTTATCCGTTGTGATTGTAATTTCTTATGATTTTTAATTTTTTTAATTATCAAAAACGTTTATTTGTCTAGTTTTAAATATATTTTTCTTCATTTATTCATTTTTTATTCTGTCTATTCAGATCTTGAAGAATTATTAATTGAATTCAATGTAATTTGATTTAATTCTATTCAGTGTGATTTAATTTGATTTAGGTTATTATTTTAAGAATGTTGACGGCTAAAATATATTTTCGGTATTCTTGCAGGCACGTAGTTACCTCCAGTCATTGCCGTACAAACCCAAGGTGCCATGGACCTGTCTGTTTCCAAACGCTGACCCACGTGCACTCGACTTACTCGATAAAATGCTGACATTCAATCCCAATAAACGCATTGTGGTGGAGGATGCCCTTGCGCATCCGTATCTTGAACAGTATTATGATCCTGCTGATGAGGTAATTGAATTTCAATTAATTAAATGTTTGAGAGTACGTGAAGAATTGATTTTGCTCTCTTCTGTTACCTTTCACTACTTTACGACTGATTATTCGTTTCTCACCGTATTCGGTGACAATAAATATCTGAAGAATCTTTAGAGTACCTACATAAATATTAAAATTTCTTAATAAACATCCTTCTCAAAAAT